TCATATAACCAGCGCATAAGGCGCTGAATATTGGTTTAATGAAGGACGTGTATTTCTCCGCTTAACATTTTAGGGCTGAGCAGTTTACAGGGCTTAACCTTGGCTTAATGGAGGGAGCGTATTTCTCGGATGACAGTGAACAAATGACACGCGTGGCCTGACAACTGGCAACACAGAGCAGACTATCTTGTATCTTCAGTTCAGAAGCCAACTCAACCAATACTCTAGTAGCCGCATCTCATCATCAAAGAAAAGGAGGAAGGAAAGCAGCACCAGGCAGGCAGTTACAGTTCAACATCCAACACTCATTAGCCAGGACCCGATAAAAGTTTCAGCATAATAATAGACGCTAGTCAGCACCTTAGGCGATTAAATTCCTACGAGCCCACTATCTGCACAGTTCAGTTCACCGGTGCGCGCTACGAGTAGTACGAAGAGGGACACGCCAAATGATCACAGCCAAACAAGCCATTTCTGCATCTCGGCCACACGGAACAGAAGAGCCTACGCCCATCTCTGCACCCCTTGCTACCTGCGGAGCATTAATCATTTATTAGTACTTCGTTCAGCCCCCCATTGATCTAGACTAGAATTGACTTATGTAAGTGTTCCACTTATAGCAATTTATATTGCCTTCATTCAAAATATGAGATTTATTTGGATGGAACTGCTCCTTGTTCAGTCATGATTCACTCCACTTGTGACTGCCATGTACAACAGATTACATTGTAATACGTACGTTTAACTAAAGAGTCAAGAATAGCAGATACCATATCAATTCAGAGGTGATATATAGGCGTTGGTAAATTCCTAAAGTCAAGAATAGGCCTTTGTTCTTCAAGTCCGTTGATAAGGTTGACGACTAAGTTCCAATTTGCAATAGCGATGAGAGTCGGGAAAGATTTCTGCTCCAGATTTGAAAGGCTCCTTTAATTGAACTAAAACCACGACACTTATTTTGGAATGGAGGGAGTAGAAAATGTAAGAGATGTGCCTCTGCCGTCTCAGTGTTTCAAAGGGAGACTCCAAGCTTGTCGGAATAACTCTGTGAAGCCTGGGTGGTCAACCCAAAAGTTCTCGAGGTGGAAGACCTTTGATTTAGGTACTTTGGTCTGAATGGAGAGAGCATAAGGGATGTATTCAAGGTGAATCTTGGAAGAGGTTTAACAAAGGTATTAGGGAAGACCATAGTCAAGGCAGCCAAGGTAAAAACAAAAACTATGTGTTCAGATTTATTATTCTCTTATGAAAAAATGTAAAGATAAAACCTTAACGTAGTATAGTAAACAGTTCTCACTTTGGATTTAGAAATCTGATATGTAAATTTTAGTTACAAACTGATGGTGAAAAACTACAGTGAGAATATTATAAGTTTGATACTATCTCAAAATTGTATTTGCAAGATTTAGCTGTAATGTTTTGCATGCTTTCAATCTCAAATACTCCCTCCGTTCCCTAATATAAGACCTTTTAGCTTTTTCTTGATTCGTATGTATCTAGACACATTTTAGTATGTATGTTCACTCATTTTAGTATGTACTCCCTCCGTCCGAAAAAGCTTGTCTCTCAAATGGATGTATCTAGCACTAACTTGGTGCTAGATACATCCATTTGAGGGACAAGCTTTTCCGGACGGAGGGAGTATGTAGTCAATATTTTGAAATAGTTAAAAGGTCTTGTATTAAGGAACGGAGGGAGTAATTAGTGAGGATGAGAAAAAAATAAACTATAGAGTTACTGAAAACAACCAGATGTATCAAGTAAGATTATTAAAAAATTGCAACCAAGCACTCGGCATTACAACAATCCCAGTGAAAGCAATGTGAAATGGCAATTTATATAGGTCCGAGTTTTTAAAAAAAAGTTCAAAACCAAATGCTCAGTATTGTTGGGCATCAATTACTTGTGTGCAGGGGACAACTTAAAATCACACTTGGATCTCATCGATTTGTAGCCACAAAAATAGCAAATGCAATGTTGCAACCCGTAAAAGTAAACAGAAATTATCAATGAAGCAGAAGAAAGGGGAATATTTCATTGTGCTACTATTTAAAGATAAGCTTACTTACTCTATTAATACATCACAATAGCATATCCATCTGACCAATCATCTTAGGTATTGTGCAAAAGTTTAGCTCCATCATGTCCACCACCAATGCCCGTGCCTACAAGGGGGCATTCCAACCATTATGTATTTCGTCTTGAGAAACATCTGCACTGCAGCTATGCACTAATAGTACCATTCCTATCAGATTAAGTAGATACGAGGGGAAATCGATGAGATATTCGGATAAGCACACATATATAATTTGAGGAAAATAACTCAGTTTTAATATATCATGATGATGAGTAGATAAACATATACTCATCTACTATCAAATAAAGAGAATATTCTCAAAAAAGAATTTACTAACTAGTGTCATAAAAATGAAGAATATGCGCACTCAGACTATTAGCTGACCTGACCTGAAGGGGCAAGTTACCTAAAATTATACTTAAGCTCGCTCCATGCCATATCGGATAAAATAAAATATAGCCATGCTGATAAACTCTAGCAATAAAAAGGATCATGACTATTCATATGTTCAAATACATTTAACCGGCAAAGATGAAATAAACTCAAATTATTATTTTTCTAACTTGCCACTGGCAGAACAAATGTTTTTCAAGTATCAAACCAAGTCATTATTGTGGATTTAAGATTCGTAAGACCAGTGATAACAATATTGAATGAATGAAAGCTTCATAATGTGCCAACTAATCTACCTATTCGACATCTCACTTGGTGCAAGCTGTTTTTTTTGTCATGTAGTTGTCTCAATTTCCAAACGTTATGTATCTCATCTTGAGAAGCATCTGCTCTGTAGCTATGCATTAATACTAACGTTATACAATTCTTGAATATGCCAATAGGCAGCCAACAATAAAATTTAGTTCAATTATTATACAAAAACTGCTTATCTCTTTGTCATTGTTTCATTCTAGGATGACAACAGAGTAAACAGATAATGAATTTCACACCTCTGATTCAAACCATATAAGTCCATAATAGAGTATGAGAACAACAAAGAAAAACATTGCTACATTTTATCTAATTTTTTGACAAAGGAGGTGCACAACTGGTTTCAACTAAGGGAACTAAAAATCACGATATAGTAAAATCACCTCTCCAGAAAATCAGAACTGGCTAGCTACCACTAAAAGTTGTTTTTTCCAAATCATAACCGTTACATAGAACACCACCACACAAACATCCAAAAAGAAACACTAGAACAAAATCGCTATATGTTGAGAAAAGATCATCAAGTAGCAAAAGAAACAATTCATATGGCACCTAAAATTATTAGCTTAGAGCGGAAGGATGTGAAAATAGAATTCGATCAACCAATTACAAATAATATCTAGATTTTTGTTATACCCACAATGTAAAGGCATACCTGCAGCATAGGCACTTTCAAATGGATAATAGCGAGCCAACATGTGTATTTTGGACACTTTCTTGAACTGCAGTGACTCAAGCTGGACTGTGAAGTTGTGGATATGTGTCCACAGGAAAACCACATTATTGTATTCAGCAAACCCTTGTATACCTGGGAATGGGAAATCGTTATCTTCCACTTCTGAGCACTCCTCTTCTGAGTTCTCTTCCTCTTCTAGACCCAGGGGGAGTAGCTTGTCCAGTTCAACGGTTCTTCCCAGCACCCATGATGCAACACCATCAGAATCGGTCTCCATCTTCCATAACTGGGCGCTGAATTTAAACAGAAAGAGAATACCAAGGCCACCGCCCTCTGCCCGCATAACCTGGAATTTGCCCTGTTTTTCCTTGGCAATATCGACTGGCACCGGTTTCACAGCTAGGATCTGCATCTCCAAATCAAACTCAACTATGCCATCCACTCTGCCAGTCGATATGTCCACGAACAACCAGTAAAGGGAATGCCCAACTAGCACACTCAGAGTAAAGCCCATACAATTCTTGCTGGGAAGTCTGGATGGATATGGTGTTGAGATGCGATCACCCCATGCGCCAGTCTCCGACGAGTAAACGCGGGCGATGACCTGTCTATGCTGAAGCTCGTCTGTCTCTGCGCTTACCAAGACCACTTGGAAGTGTTGGATCTCTCCGGCGGCGCGATACACCGCCCCACCGATAAAGGTCTTCTTCTCATCGAACCCTGGGGGAACGGCTACGCGGTGCTGGGCGACGTTGAAGGGGTCCCACACCAGGAGCTGGTTCCCTGTTCCGTGGAAGTGGAGTAGGAGGCCATGGCGGGATCCAAGATTCCTGAACATGCCGCCGGTGTCGATGCGCACGGAGAAGTAGCCATCCGGGACACGATTGGGGGGATCCATGGTAGGATGGAAACGGAAGCCCTCGAAGAAACCAAGGAGAGGAGGGTTGTGGCGGTGGTGGAGGCGGAAGCGGCGAGAGAAGCCGGGGTCGGAGACGAGGCCGAGCCAGCGCTTGGAGACGAGGGAGGCGCGAGGGAGGGAGGACGGGTCTGGCGGGAGGCGGAGGAGTATCTCGGAGAGCAGGTTGTCGTCCTCCAGCGGCGGCACCGGCGCGGGCGGCGGCGGCGGCGAGCATGGGCGGCGGCGGCGGCTCATCTCGTCACAGCTGATGCGGGGAGGTGGTGGGGTCGAAGCAGCAGCAGCCCACAATGTGGAGTGACACTCCTTTCTTTGTCAATCCGGAGAGAGAAGAGACGGCCCACGAGAGCTCAAGTAAAAGAAAGCCCACTACACACAACCAGAACGCATAAACGAAGATTTTTTGCCCTTTTGATTGATTTTCACAATTTCTCAAAAAAAAAAGAGATTGATTTTCAGAAGCTAGCCGTATGTGCACAGAACCAACAAAAATAGTAAAAGGTTTTCAGTTTTAAAATAAGAAAAACTCCTACAAGATTCAACGGTCAGCCAACAAGATTTAGGCCACCCGAGAACGGCATGGCCACGACAAAAGAAAGTCCACACATCAAAACAAGAAAATTCAGCCGCCCCTAATGTGATTGCCATCACCCCACCCCCTCACGGCATAGCGACCCTAACTTCATGACAGACAAACACATACGTGCTTTATGTAGTGGTTGGCCTTCCTATTTTCATGCCCTCTTTAGTCGAAGAGCTAAGTATGCATAGGAATCAAACAAACTTGCATGAAGGACATGAAGAGCACATCAGATCATAATATATATCAATACCCTCTTTTTTTTGAATTTTCTTATTATCCTTTTGTTTTCTTACCAGAATATAAAGAAGATATAGAATATATTCATATGTGTGTGTATATTTATCTAAATTCTAGATTTATAGATAATGTAATCCTTCTAAAAAACATATCCTTATCTTGAAGATGAACTTAGAAGAAAAGATGTGGATGGCTTGCGTCGATCTAATCCATTGTGACCTATCATCGCCTGAACGATGCTACCACGTCTCCGACTCCACCGTGATGCAATGAAAACAGATCACAGGAACCCATGGACACGTTGCGGAGCCCACTACCAAGCCCTTGGCGCGACCTAAGTGTCACATGCTACCATTTTATTTCTACACAAGCCATCACACCTTAACCCAAGTTAGATATATATGGCTTGATTCATAGACTAGATCTAGAAAATTGGATGGGCGATGTCCTCACCGTACCTGTTTAACCAATTAGGCTAGAACATGAGGGATGGGGCTCCAAATTCGTGTCAACATGGCTCATGATACCATGATGTTGTAGTGCATGGGCTAAAGTGCCCCAATTTGTCCGGATGTTCACAAATTGGAGGTGGCTACGAAGAGGAATGCGAAGAACACGAAGAACACGAGGGGAAATCACAAGAGAAACACTCAAGAACAAGTTGAATCACACATCCACTAGACAATCAAACACACAAGATCCACAAGGTACATGAACAATCAAAGGAAAAGATACAAGGTAGAGTTCGTCCCAAATCCAATGGAGATGAGGTCTTGATGATCTGGATAGATCCTTCCCTAGAAGGGGTCTTGAATCCCTAAGTATCTTCTCCAATGAAGGTCTTGAACTCCAATGGAGTGTCCCTCTCTCAAGAGGAATCCCACAAGGGGAGGTACATGAGCTAAGCTCCAATGTCTAGATATACTCTTAGCTATCCTACAAATGAGGTGGAGGAGTATATATAGGTCCAAGACATGAAGGGGTAAGTAGGGGCATAATAGGGACTACATGGGCAAAGCCCAACAGTTGCACGCAGGAGGCCCCGTGCGCACGAGGTAAGTAGAGCCCTTGCGCACGGGGTATCCAGAGACTTAGGACTTAGCCCGTGCACACGGGGTCCAAAGGCCCATGCGCCCGGGGTATCCAGAGGCTCGCAGCATGTCGCCTTCTCGTGGACACCCGTCGATGCTGGTGGAACTTAGCTTTCTTCTCAACAGTTCCTTCTCCGCTGCCAAGCTTCCCTCTTGGATGGTGTTGTTGTTCTGTTGAGTTTGGACTCCTCCTATATGAATGTGTAGCTCCGCTCACACCTATGTATTCACATGAGAGAGGGGTCAAGTAGTATACCATCCTCGAAGGGCACAGATGTACATGTGTAAATGAGATGATTCACCTTTATGCATGTGAAGTAGATGTGTGATAACCCACAAGTATAGGGGATCACAACAGTTTTCGAGCGTAGAGTATTCAACCCAAATTTATAGATTCGACACAAGGGGAGACAAAGAATTTTTGAAGGTATTAGCAGCAGAGTTGTCAATTCAACCACACCTGGAGATTAATTATGTGCAGCAAGTAATCAATAGCAAATTAATATGATAGTTTTGATAGTAGTAACATAAGCAATGGTAACGGTAACAGTGATAGCAGTATTTTTGTAGCAAGTGTAACAGTGATGATAGCAGTAGTAACTTAGCAAAAACAATATAAGATAAATTCATGGGCATTGGATCGGTGACTTGTTGGATGATATTCATCATGAGATAGTTATAACCTAGGGCGATATGGCACTAGCTCCAGTTCGTCAATATAATGTAGGCATGTATTCCGTAAATAGTCATACGTGCTTATGGAAAGAACTTGCATGACATCTTTTGTCCTACCCTCCCGTGGCAGCGGGGTCCATATTGAAAACTAAGGGATATTAAGGCCTGCTTTTAATAGAGAACGGAAACAAAGCATTGACACATAGTGAATACATGAATTCCTCAAACTATGGTAATCACCGGGTGTTGTCCCGACTACTGTCACTCCGGGGGTGCCAGATCATAACATGTAGTAGGTGACTATAACTTGCAAGATCGGATCTAAAACATGGATATAATGATGAAAACATAAACGGTTCAGATCTGAGTTCATGGCACACGGGCCCAAAGTGACAAGCATTAAGCATGGCAAAGTCATAGCGACATCAATCTTAGAACATAGTGGATACTAGGGATCAAGCCTAACAAAACTAACTCGATTACATGATGAATCTCATCCAACTCCTCACCGACCGGCGAACCTATGAAGGAATTACTCACTCCTAGTGGGGAGCATCATGGAATTGGCGATGGAGAAGGGTTGGTGATGATGAAGAACGAAGACCCCCCTCTCCGGAGCCCCAAACGGACTCCAGAACTGGCCTCCCGATGAAGAACAGGAGGTGACGGTCGCTCCACCTCATGGATCGCGATAATTCTTTCTTCCTTTTTTCTGGAAAATAGGATTTTATAGCGTCGGTTTCAGGGTCTGCAGGGCCACCAGGTGGGGACAACCCACCTGGGCGCGCCAGCAGAGGGGGGCGTGCCCTGGTGGGTTGTGCCCACCCAGGTGCCCCTCTCTAGTGGGTCTTGGCTCTAGAAATTCTCTTTATTGGTATAAAAATTCCTTGCAAAGTTTCGTTACATTCGGAGAACTTTTATTTCTGCACAAAAACAACACCATGGTAGTTCTGCTGAAAACAGCGTCAGTCCGGGGTTAGTTTCATTCAAATCATGCAAATTAGAGTCCAATACAAGAGGAAAAACTTTAAGAAAAGTAGATACGTTGGAGACGTATCAACTCCCCCAAGCTTAAACCTTTGCTTGACCTCAAGCAATTCAGTTGATAAACTGAAAGTGAAAAAGAAAAACTTTTACGAACTCTTTTGCTCTTGTTTGCATAAATAAGATTAAACAGCACCCAGGTTTTCAGCTAATATGATAACTAACCATGCCGACAATAACTCTTAAAGATTATATTAACTCATATCAATGACATAATCAGCTAGCGACCAATAATAAGATATCTCAAACAGCAACACATTATCAAAACAACCATGATATAATATGACAATAGTGGTATCTCTCTAGCCCTTTCTGAGATCGTAAAACATAAATGCAGAGCACCTCCAAGGTTCAAGCAGCGACTAAACATTGTAATTCATGGTAGAAAATATCCAGTCATGATGCATCCAACATTAGCTACACACAATGCATAAGTCATGACAGTTGTGCTCTCAGGTTCTGGCGCTTGTTTTAGAAGGTGATGACACAACATAAAAGTAAATAGATAGTCCCTTCGCAGAGGGAAACAGTCTGCAGAGGTGCCAGAGCTCAAGTTTTTAAAACAAAGGTAAATGATATTTAATTACAAAAAAAGATATTTTGAGACATGCATCCTTCTCATTTACTTCATGACCATCAGTTATCAACATCTTCCATGCTAAGCGAGCTAGTGGCGGTTCCCAAGCAATAAAAAGTAAATGTTTTGACTCCATTAGGAGTGTTTGTTTGATTATTTGAGAGATCATTTCTTTTGCAATTTGGGACTGGGCATCCCTATTACCGCCCTTTTCTTGTGCGATGGCGAGTGAATAAACACTCAACCTGAGAATAACCCGCTTAGCATGGAAGATAATGACCATCTACTGTCGTTCCATGAACAATCCAGGCACACAAAAAGGATATTTGTTAGAAGTTTTTAGAGGTGGCATATGTAAATTTACTTAGGACGGCAGGATAATACCGCATATAGGTAGGTATGGTGGACTCATCTAAATAACTTTGGGTTCAAGGTTTTTGATGTACAAGAAGAATTTCCACTTAGTACAGGCGAAGGCTAGCAATTAGATTGAGAAGCGGCCAGTTAGAGAGCAACAACAGTCATAACCATGCATTATGCATAAGTAACATTGGACATTGCAAACATGTTTAATTATAACGGGCTGAATCATGGATACTAGGTTAAACATATTTACACAAACAAAACAAGTTGAGTTCATACCCGTTTCTCTCTGCCACGGCCAGTTCGTCGGATGTTGTCATTATTGCCTTTCAGTTGCACGACCGAACGATGTGAAAATAATAATAGTGCAAGAGTGCCGTGGACTAAGCTGGAATCTGCAAACATTTTATTCAACAGGAGAAGACAAGGTAAAATGGCTCTTTATTACATTAACATTTATTCATATGAGAGCCACTCAACATTTTCATCGTGGTCTTCTCCTTGGTACGACTCGAATAAAAAGAAAAGAAATTCAGATAAACACACTGAAATATTTTTGGAGTTTTTGGTTTCTTGAACAAACAAATAAAAGAGAAAAGCAAAAACAAGGAAATATGCCCTAGAGGCAATAATAAAGTTGTTATTTATATTTCCTTATGTCATGATA